CAAAATCAATCATATAAGTTTCTCTTAATAAATGGTCAAAAGGGCAGGATAAATGCTGGCATCCAAATGAATACTCCCTTAAGAAGGCTACAAACATGAAAAACTAATCCTCTAAAATATAGCAAATTATAAGACAGCATATACATATCTAGTGTACGTATAAACACGTCACCAAACAATGAGACAGTGCAATGTTCTCAGAACAACCAATTACCAGCACAAAGTGCTAAATTTTTCGAATAATGCTATGTAACACAAGTGGTGTTAAACACCAATTTAGGTGTCAATATTTTATAATTTATATTACCTGGGTCATAAATCATTAAATATAACTGAACATGTAATTTAATGCTACAAGTGTTGCTACCTAGATTGATTTTAAAACATGGATAATGCTGGCCTATGGGCTTAGGTAGCGAAGCACTAGCCCTAGTTATCATATCTCTATATCTCGATTAAACGTTTCAAAATGTTTCGGGTTGTCATTTGTCAAGTCCCAAGTAGCCTGGTCCAAACTAGCTGTGATTTGGACCATCTATAGGGGACCTCAGTTCCCCAAGGGCCTGTGTTTATTGGTCTGGTGAACACCTATAGTATTGCATGTTCTACACTGAATGGAATAGGATCGAAGTGGCATTTTTTACTTGTCTCTTTTCTTCATGTCTAATTCGGCATAAGAAACATGTAGTGAAGTTCTCTCATAATACTTAGTAGGCTGATCATACCATGAAGGAATGAAAATGGACAAAAATCTAAAGAGGAAGAAAGTATCTTTAGTCTAGCACCAAATGCCAGTATAAAGTAAAAACAAAATTCTTAAAATAGGAGAACTTCAAAACATTATATACCTTCTCAATATTCGAGTTTTGGGATGTAAACGACTCAAGCCGAAGGTCACAGCTCGGGTAAAAAATGGATTGAGCTTTTTTGGCCCGAGTCAAGCAAGCTTGATTATTTATTTATTAATTTTCAAAGTCATGAAATTCAAAAAAAAATTTAACTATAAATTATGTGCAATTTATACTAATTCGAAAATTGAACTTTTTTTTAATGGCTACACCGCAACTGTAGCGGCCTGATATAACTTAGCGTTGTGTTAAAACCAATGGCGACTATGAAATTTTGAATTCCAATTTTGTAGATGTTATAAATGTGGTATCTTTCATATGCCTAATAATAATTGCAATTGATTGGTGAAGCAACAATAAATGAATGGAAATACATAATAAAGAGTTTCTGATAAATTATATCTCAATTTTAAGCACTACAAGATATTTGGCTTTTACTTTCAATGTTTTCTCTATTCTTAGTTCTAGTCAGTATTGAATACTAATTTAGTACATTACACATTGTTGTTCACAACAAAAAAGAAAAATTGAATATGTCATGTAAATTCTTTTATATGACTCAACTAGCCTATGACACAGGCCGACTGAGCCACCGAGCTGTCTCGAGCTCGAGCCATTGCCAAAAAATGTGGCTCAGTGGAACCTAACCAGCTCGAACATTTAGAGGCTGAGCAACAAACCAAATTGATACCCCTATTCGAGCTATTCTTCAAGCTGAGCAATAACAACTGTCCTGTAGGCCCCCACCTATTTTGGGGTGGTGGGCGGGGGCACCAAGGCCTGTACAACCAACTTTATTGTAGAATTTAACACGCAATGAAGATTTTTCATTTTGCCAAACAAGGAAATTCAAGAAAGTGACGGTGGTTTTATTAGCTGTTGTCAATTCTCAAACCTAACAGATATAGCTTACAAGCAGGATATAACAACAGCAAAACTACTTAGTTGCTGGTTTGAGATTCACTCAAAGTTTGATGCATGAGACTGCTGATGGTATTTTATGTATTAGTGATCCTCGTGCTGCGGCCATTCTCATAGTTCAATATCCCAGTCCTTAACTGTAGAATTAAGTGATAAGAAACTTTTAGTAGAAGATATTTATTCAAATAATATTCACGAATACTAGCAAAAAAGTCACAGGAACAAATTACCTCAGCAAGAAGGTTCTCAGCACCAGAGAAGTCGTGCTTTTCTCTCTTTAGGAGTTCAAGACGAGCACTGATATCACGCTTCTGTTCTTCTGCCTCGTCAAAAGGCATTTGAGAGAGAAAGTCATTAGCCAAGAGTTCTCCTTTAATTAATTGTGCAATTAACAAGCAGATGAAAGGCCAGATTAAGCCAGATTAAGTTTTACAAAATTACAAGGCTGCCTCAGGTGTTAAGCAGTTCACAGAGGTAGAAGCAATTTAAAGCAGTTGGGAGGCACAAAATGCAAAATTACAGGTGCCAAGAACCTTCCCTGAAAATCGCATAGATAAACAATTAGCCATTTTAAGTTCAAAACCAATTAGGAGAACCCGAAAAACCCATTCTTTTGAGATTTCCCATGTGAATGTGATCCTTTTAATCATCCAACAAATTTCTGCACCATGACAAGAGATAACAAAATCATCAAGTTTGGCTCACCTGTAACAACGAGCCTATTCTTATTATGGCATTTGTATTCAATATAGAGAGATCAGGTGCAAGAAACATTTTTCCCATTCTCAAGCATTTTCAGTAGCATATATTCTACTGTAATAGCTTATCAGAAACATTTTCTTCATGAAGCATTGCACTTTATCATTAAATCTAACAATGATCTATTGATTAAGTAGGTAACTCAGCTAGCCCATAAGCAGTGGCATAATTATTCGTAAAAAAAGTTGTAACTAGGCCGTATAAGTTCAAGTTTTCTTGCTAAAAGATGCCACCGGGTAGTATACACAGAAACACAGGATATGCATGTCTACCTGGACTTCGAATTTAATGTTTTACCATAATTGTTACTGCTGTAGACTATAAATATGTATAAACAGAAGCAAATTATAGCATAAAATTACAATCTAATGCATTTGCATTGCTTCCGACTTTCAGGATTCAATAAAATATAGACTAGATAAACATTTTCACTCAGATGCTGACATTACAGTTTCACTGAGCAATTGTATATGTCCTTCAAACAAATTAGATATCAAAATGAGTTGACTCTACATAATATCACAATTCAACAATGCTTTCAATGTCAGAATTTAGCAATTGCCAGCTTAATACTATTTTACTAATACTTCAAATAAGTAGTATATAACTTTAATAAGAGCTGGCAACAAGATATTCCAAGGACTTTGTACAATAAGTCAAAATCAATCATCTAAGTTTATCTTAATATTAATAAATGGACAAAAGGGCAGGTTAAATGCTGGCATCCAAATGAATACTCCCTTAAGAAGGCTACAAACATGAAAAACTAATCCTCTAAAATATAGCAAATTATAAGACAGCGTATACGTATCTAGTTTACATAGAAACACATCACCAGACAATGAGATAGTGCAAAGTTCTTGGAACAAACAATTACCAGCACAAAGTGCTAAATTTTTCGAATAATGCTACCTAGCACTAGTGGTGTTAAACACCAATTTAGATGTCAACATTTTATAATTTATATTACCTAGGTTATAAATCATTATATTTAATTGGACATGTAATTTAATGCTACAAGTGTTGCTACCTAGATTAGTGTTAAACATGGATAATGCTGGCCCATGGGCTTATGTAGCGAAGCGCTAGCCCTAGTTATCATATATCTATATATCGATTAAACGTGTCAAAATGTTTCGGGTTGTCATTTGTCATGTCCCAAGTAGCCTGGTCCAGACTAGCTGTGATTTGGACCATCTGTAGGGGACCTTAGTTCCGCAAGGGCATGTGTTTATTGGCCAGGTGAACGCCTATAGTATTGCATGTTCTACGCTGAATGGAATAGGATCGAAGTGGCATTTTTTACTTTTCGCTTTTCTTCATGTCTAATTCGGCATAAGAAACATGTAGTGAAGTTCTCTCATAATACTTAGGAGGCTGACCATACCATGAAGGAATGAAAATGGACAAAATCTAAAAGGGAAGAAAATATCTTTAATCTGGCACCAAATGCCAGTATAAAGTAAAAACAAAATTCTTAAAATAGGATAACTTCAAAACATCATATACCTTCTCAATATTCGAGTTTAGGGATGTAAACAAGTCAAATCGAAGATCATGGCTCGGGTAAAAAATGGATCGAGCTTCTTTGGCCCGAGTCAAGCGGGCTTGATTATTTATTTATTTATTTATAAAGTCGTGAAATTCAAAAAAAAATTTAACAATATAAATTATGTACAATTTATACTAATTTGAAATTTGAACTTTTTTTAACGGTTGCAAAACAACTGTAGCGGCCTGATGTAACCAAGCATTGTGCTAAAACCGATGGCGAATATGAAATTTTGAATTCCAATTTTGTCGATGTTATAAGGTGGTATCTTTCATACGCCTAATAATAATTGCAATTGATTGATGACGCAACAATAAATGAATGAAAATACATAATAAAGAGTTTCTGCTAAATTATATCTCGATTTTAAGCACTACAAGATATTTGGCTTTTACTTTCGATGTTTTATCTATTCTTAGTTTTAGTCAGCATTGAATACTAATTTAGTACATTACATATTGTTGTTCACAACAAAATAGAAAAATTGAATATGCCATGTAAATTCTTTTCTATGACTCAACTAGCCTATGACACAAGTCGACTGAGCCACCAAGCTGGCTCGAGCTTGAGCCATTGCCAAAAAACGAGGTTCAGTGGAACCTAACCAGCTTGAACTTTTAGAGGCCGAGCGACAAATCAAATTGACACCCCTATTCTTCAAGCTGAGCAATAACAACTGTCTTGCCAGCCCCCCGCCTATTGGGAATTAGGACTCCAAAAGCCCACTTTATTACTTGAACGCGACCCGTGCACTTGAAGTGTAGTATTTTATTGAACAAATGCACTTAGAGATGACAATTTACCCCTCCCGCCTAGACGAGTTGATGGGGCGGGCCACCCCCGCCCCCCCCCCCCCCCCCCCGGCCGGGGGGGGGGGGGGGGGGGGGGGGGCACCAAGGCCTGTACAACCAGCTTTATTGTAGGATTTAACACGCTAGGAAGAATTTTCATGTTGCCAAACAAGGAAATTCAAGAAAGTGACAGTGGTTTTATATACCGTTATCAATTCTCAAACATAACAGATATAGCTTACAAGCAGAATACAACAGCAAAACTACTTAGTTGCTGGTTTGAGATTCACTCAAAATATTGATGCATGAGACTGCTGATGGTATCTTATGTATTAGTGATCCTTGTGCTGCGGCCATTCTCATAGTTCAATATCCCAGTCCTTAACTGTAGAATTAAGCGATAAGAAACTTTTAGTAGAAGATATTTATTCAAATAATATTCACGAATAAAAGCAAAAAAGTCACAGTAATAAATTACCTCAGCAAGAAGGTTCTCAGCACCAGAGAAGTCGTGCTTTTCTCTCTTTAGGAGTTCGAGACGAGCGCTGATATCACGCTTCTGTTCTTCTGCCTGGTAAAAAGATACATTTGAGTGAGATAAGAATCATTAGCCAAGAGATCTCCTTTCATTAATTGTGCAATTAACAAGCAGATGAAAGGCCAGATTAAGTTTTACAAAATTACAAGGCTGCCTCAGATGTTAAGCAGTTCACAGAGGTAGAAGCAATTTAAAGCAGTTGGGAGGTGCAAAATGCAAAATTACAGGTGCCAAGAACCTTCTCTGAAAATCGCACAGATAAACAATTAGCCATTTTAAGTTCAAAACCAATTAGGAGAACCAGAAAAACCCATTCTTTTGAGATTTCCCATATGATTGTGATCCCTTTATTCATACTATAAATCTCTGCACCATGACAAGAGACAATAAAATCATCAAGTTTGGCTCACCTGTAACCCCGAGCCTACTCTTATTATGGCATTTGTATTCAATATAGAGAGATCAGGTGCAAGAAACAATTTTTCTCATACTCAAGCCTTTTCAGTAGCATATATTCTACTGTAATAGCTTATCAGAAACATTTTCTTCATGAAGCATTGCACTTATGTTTATCATTAAATCTAACAATGAACTAATGATTAAGCAGGTAACTCAGCTAGCCCATAAGCAGTGGCATAATTATTTGATTGTTAAAATCCGAGTAAAACAAATAGTAACTAGGCCATATAAGTTCAAGTTTTCTTGTTAAAAGATGCCACCAGGTAGTATACACAGAAACACAGGATATGCATTGCTACCTGGACTTGAATTTAATGTTTTACCATAATTGATACTGCTGTAGACTATAAATACGTATAAACAGAGGCAAATTATAGCATAAAATTACAATCTAATGCATTTGCATTGCTTCCAACTTGCAGGACTCAATAAAATATAAGACTAATTAAACATTTTCACTTAGACGCTGACATTACAAGTTTAAATTCACCTTTTGCAACATCCCCGTAAGGTAGTGGATTTCGTTTTTCTTTGCTTCGGACAAATTTTGTGCAGTTGCTTCAACATTACTCCTGTAATTTTGTGGTCATTACTTCATGGAAATCATATATTTACATAATACAGAATTGGCCCAATTGGAAGGGTAGAAAGTTTGGCAGCAGAAATCATAACTTTTAATCACTTCAACAAATAGTATTCAGAATTGATTAAAAAGTCAATTTAGTTACAAGAGGTCCATCCCAGCTTCTAGTTGCTTTTCATTCTAATAATGAAACTAATCTGCTAATAATAAATTGCTAAATAGCTAACAAAAATAAGGACACCTACTTCTCAGAAAGAAGAGGGTCCAGACTATGTTCTTCCACGAGTTCCTCTACACTGTCAAGAACTGTTGCAGCCTGCAAAAAGACAAAAATACAACAGCCAAGATCTTTCCAAATTCAACAATGTTCAGCAGAATTAAAAGACCTAAAATCATCTTTTATGGTAACACAATTTCGCAAATAAAACCTTTTAGAATTTCAGGGATACAATTTCAACAGAATAAAAGGATATTTTAGAGATCATACCTGTGTCGCAAGACATATAGACTCGAATTCTTCCTGCAAGAATTGAGAAAGACGAATCACGATAATATTTTATTTCTTTATATACTTTTAATATTTTTTTCCTTCCAATGGGTATGGTATATTCAGATGTGATGAAGCTCGTGACTAAATCTGGATGTATGACATAAATGATTGAAATACACCTTTAAGAGATAACTAGCATTGCCAAATTGGGTTGAAAAAGACTTTTTATGTAAGAAACTAATCCTGATCACCCACAAGGAAGAAATATTTAGCCACTCGGTCACAAATTTTAACTTGACTCATAGAGAGCATGTCAAGTCCAAGGCTTTTTTAGCATCATAGTTTTACTTATTTAAGAAGTTCATATGCACTTGAATGCAGAAGCCCGCACTTCTTTCCAGGCTTCATCTACAAAGATTAACAAAGGTGTTGAGAAAAAAAGTGAAAATACGATCACACATGACAAAGATGACAAACAACAAATAGAAAACATTTAATGCCGGATCTAATAAAAAGCATGAAGTGGCATAGGTGAGACCATCAGGTCAATAAATTATTGGATGGGACATCATAAAATACCTATTATGAGCATGTTAGAGGGACAGTGGCAGTGCATCCCCTAGGAGAAGGATTATGTGAATTAGGCTTGATGGCATTCTATTAAGCCTCCAATCCGTTTCATTTATGCTAGAAGAAACTAGAAGAATTGAAAAGTTACTAGAAGGGATGTGTAACAGCATTCGGTTAGGGAGCAGGAGAGAGGAGAGAAATTCTGTTAGGAAGAAATGTTATAAATAAGGGTAGGAAAGAATAGATAGGAGGCAAATATTTGAGTGAGTAGTAGAGTGGTTTATTCTTGTTTATAGCCTTCTTCATGCTTTATGTTTATTCCAGTTTCTGTAATCACCCGCTTTTAATCAAATAATCACTTATTCCACAATTTAACTTGTTCTTTCCAGTTGGTATCCTAACAAATTGGTATCAGAGCTCGTTCGATCCAATGGCGCAAAAGAAGGACAGCGGGATGGAGGCAGTGGAAAAGGAACTAGAAGAAGTGAGGGGAGGCATGCAAGGACTACCAATCCTAGAGAAATCGGTGGAAAATCTCAACCAAAATATGGTAAGGATTCTGCACTCCTTGGAGGAAACTCAAAACTGTCGCAACACTTGTTAACCCCAGAGCGGGGTTAGGGAAGAATCCGAAAGGAGAAGGGTCTGGTAGCATCACAGAGGACTCCGCTCCAATCAATTCCACCAGGCAAGAAATCAGACGTGGCGAAGAAGTGAGATTAGAGCAGCCCAAGGAGGAAAACAGCTGGAGGGGAATCAAGAAGCTGGAGATACCCATCTTCGCCGGCGAAAACCCTTCCGGGCTGAGAGATACTTCGAAATCAATAGTCTCAACGAGAAGGAGAAACTGGGCGCAATTGGAGTTAGCTTAGATGGCGAAGCTCTTTCGTGGTTACAATGGACGGAGGCAAGGACTCCATTTCACAATTGGGACCAATTCCGACAGCAATTACTGATGCGATTTAGGCTTACCCAAGAAGGGAACGTTTGTGAAAAATTTCTGGCGGTCAAACAAGAAGGGACCGTCGCCGAATTCAGAAGGAATTTTCAGTCACTGGCAACACCGGTCACGGGGATCTTAGAGGAAGTAATGGAAGGGATCTTCGTTAATGGGCTGAAGCCGGATGTAAGAGCTGAGGTTAGGGTGTTGGGCCCAAAAGAGTTGGGCCAAATTATGGATATGGCCCAACGCATAAAAGACCGAAATAACTTAATGAAAACAGCAAGGGAGAGTCCGGCCCAAAAGACAAACAAAACACTGGCAGCTCCAAATCACTGGGAAGGGAGGAAACCCAGTCCATTTCCAACACGATCTGTGACGGTGGGAGAGAAATTGATAGCGCCAACCAAGGACCCGCCGGTCAAGCGTATGACCGACGCCGAATGGCAGCTCAGGCAAGAAAAAGGGTTGTGTTTCCGGTGCGATGAAAGGTACACTGCAAGTCACCAATGTAAGAGGAAAGAGCTTAGGATTTTGTTGCTACAGGAAGGAGATGAGTTAGGAGGGGAAATTGAGTCGCCGGTGGAGGAAGAAAAAGTAGAGGTTGCTGAGTTGGTCGAACTCTCTTTGAATTCGGTGGTGGGGTTATCAACTCCAGGAACTATGAAGCTCAAGGGTGCGGTAAAGCAAAAGGAAGTGACTATTCTGGTTGATTGTGGTGCAACGCACAATTTTATCTCTCTGGGTCTGGTCCACGAATTGGAATTGTCAATCACGACTACTACTAATTATGGGGTCATTATGAGGTCTGGTGAATTGTCAAGGGCAAGGGAATTTGCAAAGAGGTCGTGTTGGAGATGTAGGGCTTGACCGTAGTAGAAAATTTTCTACCTCTGGAGTTGGGTGGAACCGATGTAGTGTTGGGAATGCAATGGCTTGGGAGTTTGGGCTCAATGGAGGTTTATTGGAAGTGCCTGACCATGAAATTTTGGATGGGGAAATCAATGATAGTGCTGAAGGGGAAACCAAGGCCAAATAAAACAGGAATATCACTTAAGGTCATGGTAAAGCCTTTGCAAGAAGAAGGTCAGGGGATATGGGTGGAAAGCATCTCGGGCTTGGGGAACGAAACTCGAAAGGAAGAAGTGTTAGCAGAAAATATCAAACAGCTGATACAACAATTTCAATACATATTTCAGGAACCGCCAGGATTACCCCCCGTCGAGAAACAGACCATACCATTAGACTTAAAGAGGGAACTGAGCCAGTCAACGTCCGGCCCTTCCGCTACCCGCACATTCAAAATAATGAGATAGAGAGGATGGTCCGGGAAATGCTTGCAGTCGGGATTATTCAGCCTAGCATATCTCCATTCTCTAGCCCCATTTTGCTTGTCAAGAAAAAGGATGGCAGTTGACGCTTTTGCATGGATTATCGTGCCCTCAACAAAGTCACCATTCCCGACAAATTTTCAATTCCTGTAATTGGTGAATTACTGGACGAGCTGCATGGAGGAACAGTTTTTTCTAAATTGGACCTCAAATCGAGGTACCATCAAATTCTGGTGCGAGAAGAAGACATACATAAAATGGCATTCCGGACACATGAGGGGCATTATGAATTTTTGGTAATGCCATTTGGGCTCACAAATGCACCGACCACTTTCCAGTCACTTATGAATCAGGTATTCCGAGGCTATTTAAGGAAGTTTGTTTTGGTGTTTTTTGATGATATTCTGGTATACAATAAGGATGGGAAGGAGCATGAACGTCACTTGAAGATGGTCTTTCAAACACATCGGTTGTATGCCATCATTAAAAAGTGCTTCTTCGCCCAACCACAGATAAAGTATTTGGGCTATTGAGTAACGGCTAAAGGGGTGGCAGCCGACCCTAGCAAAACTAGCCAACACCAAAAACTCTTAAGGAACTTCGGGGCTTCCTAGGATTGACAAGCTATTACCGAAGGTTTGTGGCCCGCTATGGAGCTATATCTTGGCCTCTCACACAGCAATTATAGAAGGATGCATTTGGGTGGGGGTAATTAGCATAAAACATCCCTACCTTTCGATGTTTTTGTGGAAAACGTCCCTACCTTTCATTTTTTGGCGGATTACACCCTTACCTTCACCTTTTTTTGCGCAAAACGTCCTTCTGTCAACTCTCCGTTAAAATGCTCCATTAAATAAAAAAGGTAACTAGCACAAAAGGTCCCTATCTTTCAAAGTTATTGTGCAAAACGTCCCTACCTTTTATTTTTTAGCATAATTAGCAGAAAAGGTNTAGCATTTTTACCCCTACATTTCACCTTTCATTGCGCAAAAGGTCCTTTTCATCCATTTTTTCAATAAAATGACGATTTTACCATTCTATTGAAATAAAACAAAAAGAAAAGAAAAAAATAATTAATTAATTGCAATCATAATTCTAAATCTTTCAAAACATTAAAGATAAATCCTAAATTCTCCACTACCGCTACTTTCACAACCCCACCAAGCCACCACCTATAGATCCATATAGCACCACTTTTCGATCACAACACCTATCAGACTCCACCACCACCAGCATCGCCTCACTCTCCCCAATATCCTCCTCCATAGTATTGATCACCAATCTGTCCAAAACAACCACATTTACGGTGGTGGAGTTCGGTGGGCATGGTGGCCGAAAGGTGGTATTATGTGGATTTATAGTTGGCAGCTTGATAGGTTGTGAAAATGGTGGTGGTTGAGAATTTATGATTTTTTTGTAATTTTTTAAAAATTTAAGAACTATGGTTGCAGTTGGTAATTCATCTTTTCTTTTTGTTTTATTTGAATAGGAGAGTAAAATCGTCGTTTTATTGAAAAAATAGATGAGAAGGACCTTTTTTGCAATGAAAGGTGAAAGGTAGGGGTGAAAATGCTAAAAAAATAAAAGGTAGGGATGTTTTTTACAATAACATTGAAAGGTAGGGACCTTTTGTGCTAATTATGCCAAAAAACGAAAGGTAGGGACGTTTTGCACAATAATATTGAAAGGTAGGGACCTTTTGTGCTAATTACCTATTGATTTAATGGAACATTTTAACGAGAACTTGATAGAAGGACGTTTTGCACAAAAAAAGGTAAAGGTGAAGGTGTAATCCGCAAAAAAACGAAAGGTAGGGACGTTTTTCACAAAAACATCGAAAGGTAGGGACGTTCCTTTGGGTGGACTCCAGAGGCTGAGAAGGCTTTCCAACAATTAAAAATAGCCATGACCAAAGTCCCAGTTCTAGCCCTTCCGGATTTCTCAAAAACATTTGTGGTAGAAACCGATGCATCTGGATACGGTCGGGGGGCAGTGTTGATGCAGAGCCAACAGCCCATTGCTTTCTTTAGTCAAGTATTATCCAGCAAGTCCCAACAGAAGTCAGTTTATGAGAAGGAATTGATGGTCATAGTATTGGCAATTCAAAAATGGTGACATTACCTATGGGGGCGACGATTTCTAGTACAAACGGACCAAAGGAGCCTGAAGTATTTGCTGGAATAAAGAGT